TATATATATATATATTCATTTTTGTGAAAAAAACTAACAAATTATATATGATATTAATAATATTAGGCCAAATCATAATATTATTTAATATTATGTAATATTAGGCCTTTTTTGAAAATCATCAGAATTGTTTTCAAGAGTTGGCCGTGTAATGTTCATAAAGAAAAAAGCTTTTTCATTGTTTTCATATAATGATGTTTAAGCAGTTCTTCATGTTAGAGTGAGAATTTGAGGGGGTCAAAAGTGTTTAACTGATGGCGTGTACATGTTATGAAGTAATAAATAAATAATTGGGCTGGATTGTTTTGGGTTAGGAAGTGTTTCATGAGAGTAATTTCTTTGTACTACAGGACAGTGTCACAGCAGCTTCTTCTGAAGCGTTATCTGTGCTTTGCTTAATTTAATAATGCAGACGGGATCGTGTGGTGAAGGGTTCAGTGCTGTGTGTGTGAGTCTCCAGGAGTTTACCGTCGATCTCGTAGGCGTAAACTTCACCGTACATCATCCAGTAAGGCTGGAACACCACATCTTTGGCCAAAGTCCACGAGGGATCCTCGTTTGGGTACAGAATGGCTTTCCGAGGAACCCCAAAACTCAGCAGCACGACGGCCATGATGACCACGATGTAGAACATGTTGGCCACCTGCGGATGAGGAGAGAGCGCTCAGTGCTGGAGGACACGAACGGCTCAAACACAGCTCTGCCGGTCTCTCACCATCTTCCCGATCATCATGACGTAAGGTCCAGCCTGCTGATTGACCGCCAAGATATCCAGCAGCCGCACGTACCAGAAGATGATGTTCAGACAGTACACGATCCGGCCCGCGATGAACACGCTCCCCGAGCCGAAGCGCAGGCCGAAGCCCACAAAGAACATCAGGAGCGCCAGGAAATCAGACACGTTGAAGTAGTCGCTGAACCAGACTTTAATCTTCTGACTGATTTTGCCTCCTTCAGACATGAACATCTAGAGAGCAAACACGTATGTGAGCCTGCAGCACAAAAGCAGTGTTAAGTCGCTGGGGTATATTTGTAGCAATAGCCAACAATACATTGTATGGGTTAAAATTATCAATGGAAAGCTTATTTATTCAGCTTTCAGCTGATGACACACGTGTGACCTCTTGACCCTGGGACCGTTCACATGATCACAGGAGAGTACAGCTGCGTCATGTCTCTCCTAGCGGCGAGTCAATCATCAGACAGCAGGTTAACCGCTCAGCTGCATTGTAACGAATGCTGCTCAAATAATTAAACATTTCTGACATACCTTGTCAAAACATCTGAACACACACTCTCTCACTCACACACACACACACACACACACACACACACACACACACTCACACACACACACACACACACTAGGGCTGCACGATATTGGAAAAAACTCGCATTGCAATATTTTGTTTTTCTGCGATATATATTACGATATGAAAAAAAAAATCATCAGATGACTTGAATAGCTGTATTTGGAAAAAAATAATCAATCATTGGGGTGATTTTGTAGGTGAGTAAATCAGCATAAAAACTAAAATTACAAGCATAGATAAATATAACAGAACAAAGATACAAATTAAATAAGCAGTGCTTTATAATAAATCCGTGTTAAAGCTACAAAAGTGATTTTTCAAAGTTTGATTAACATTCATAACACAGAAAGCAGGAACATTAAACTGCTGTAAACCAATATAAGCTACTGTTACACATCCATTTTCTTTCTCAGTTGTTTCCCTTCACCTAAGCCATAAGCATCTGCGTTTACAAGGATACTTGCAGAGCACAGTATTTCAGGCACAAATAGACGCAGAAGTGAACGGAATTCAGTGTTCACGTGCATCTGCGTGGCTCTCACCGCGTCTACACCGGACACGAGCGGCGCGACAAAATACAATAGAACCCATTATAATCAGTGATGCTGACTGTCTACACTGGATGCTGCACACAAATCCCCGACAGTAAACTGATGCCGCGTTCTCTTTATGATGTACTGACACAAAGTTCAAATGATATGCAACGGTCGCGTCCAGTGTAGACAGACTTTGGGGCCGTACACATGTCGCACCTAAAAACGCATGGAAAACGCCAGCCGCGCCGCTCTCTCCTTCTTCCCTAAGCGCTCGGGAGCTTGCGCTTTCGTGGCGTCTGCCGTTGCTAAGCAACCGTGACCTGTGCTCTCCACGACAACGCGGAAGTTTCAACAAAGGATAAATGGATTTCCAGCACAGTGCTGTAGCTCTGCTACTAAATGCATTTAAAATGAGTATCTCTGTACAGCTGTCGCGTTCGGTGTAGACACCGTGTCTGTGTGTGAGCAAAGAAAACAATCAGTATAAATATAACGATCAGTATACTAAACATCGCACAACCTGCGATGTGACTATGGTTTGGTTGGGTCTGGTTGAAATGTCACTAGTGAACCTTCCACTAGTTCTGAGATGTTTATCAGTGTGTAACGTGGCGGGTTTATGCAGGAACAAGTGTCTCTGATACTATCACATGGGAACAACAGCCCAGAACACTTGAAGTGCTGGAAATCTCACACACACACACACACACACACGCGCAGCGTGAGAAAGGAGCCTCATGTACCGTGTTGAACCAGAACTTGACGATCGGCGCGTGGTAGAAGGCGTAGAACTTGCGTGTGATGGGTAAGCGATATCGATGCTGAAACGATATACCGTGCAGCCCTAATAAACACACACACACACACCTCTCGAATCTTCTCCACCGCCAGCGTGAAGATGTAAAGAATGACGACCCATTCCTGAGGAGATGGAAACGGCTCCATTCGCACCAGCACCACGTATGAATACAGCATCAGGAAACCGATATAAAAGAGCTAGAACACACAAAACACACTGTTAGACAGATGACGCATCTCTAAAACCTTCATAAGGAGCTCAAATCTCCTCATAATCACAGACACACCTGTGCAGACGAGGGTCAAAGGCCTCAAATATGGAGTTTAGAGTCATTAGACACTAATATAAGAGCAGTGACCAATCACAATCAAGAATAAGACACAATAAACACTCCATTTTACACACACACACACACACACACACGCGCAGCGTGAGAAAGGAGCCTCATGTACCGTGTTGAACCAGAACTTGACGATCGGCGCGTGGTAGAAGGCGTAGAACTTGCGTGTGATGGGTAACCGGCGGGAACGCACGTGCACCTCCATCTCATTCTTCACATCAGCGTTCTCATTGGGACGGGCTTCCTTAAACACATCCTGACAGAAACACAAACTCTGTCAATCTGTGCCAGCGTGATTGTGCAATGAGAAAACACACGCTCATGTAAAGATTGACCGTTTCTGGGCATCGGTGATCAGAACAGCGGCGGAGGCACGTTAGCACACTTCAGGCGTGATTAATGCTTCATCCGTACCATGGGGATGTCGTCAGGCTTCTGCAGGTTGTGCTCGCTGTCCTCCATGCTCTGATGAGCGTCCTGCGACTGGGGAATGTGGGACATCTCCGCTTTGGTCTTGTACTCCAGCAGGAGGATGGCAGGAGGAACCAGGATGCTCAGGATCACCTGCACACACACACACACACACACACACATACATACACACATACACACACAGCATCAGTTGATCGATCAGTCGATGCACGAGGCTAGGGATGGCCGATAGCACTTACTTTGTTTTCGATACGATACCGATAAGTTTTAAAGGCCTGTATCGTTGATATCGATACAGATACTTCAAGCTAAACTTTTAAATGATAAAATTTATTAAATTACAAACACACACAAACACAAGTCTGGTTGAAATGTCACTAGTGAACCACTTATTTTGTTTTCGATACGATACCGATACTTTTAAAGGCCAGTATCGTTGATATCGATACAGATACTTCTAAACTAAACGTTTAAATTATGAAATGTATTAAAATTTTACTCTTTTACTAAGAGTAAAATGGGTAATGATACCCACTTTATACTTGAAATGCATTTTAACATTCAATATGCCTTAATTGCAACTAATTAGGTTATATATTTGTTTACACGTGGTTAATATATGTTTACTGTAGTGGTAACCATGGAAATCTACAACTACTATAGTTGAACTATGGTCACTTTAGTAAAATCATGGTTAATTTGCTTAAGGGAGTGCCAGTGACAGGCTGTTGCATGCATAAAATACAACCTTTTTATTCTGACAGTGTATGGTTTATATTAACATTACAGAATAGAACATGATCAGTATTTAAATAATTGTAATTGCACAAACTATGTAGGCTACAATTTCACTTTGTTTACTGTGAAATAACTCAAACACACAGACGTTTTTTCTGTCCTCTGCTAAGCATTGTTCTGGGCTGCCGTTCCCAAAAACATCAATGCTTTCTTCTGAAGCGCAGCCCTGTTTGAATGCACGGTCTCTCTGTGATTGATTGGTTCTGTCTTGCAGCATTTGCGTGTGTTCAGATGAGCAGGAAAATAGTTCTATCCTACACAGTTATTCGTTAACGTAGGTTATTCGTCCAATTCAATGCATATTGCACGCATTTAATTTTTTTGTAAAATAAACAAAATCCCTGATAAATAAAACATCAATATTTTCTATTTGAGTATTGATACTTTCGATACTCGCATCAGTACTGATATAGCAAGCGCAGGGGCGGCTGTACCTTGTACCAGGAGTTCTTGCGCATGTTCAGGCGGCCCATCCACATGTCGGAGAGCAGCATCTGTGTGCAGGTGTGAGCCACGAACGGCCGGAGGCGCGACGACACCGCCAGCTTCAGACAGGTGGAGTTGCTCCAGTTCTTCAGCTCGTACGTCAGCAGCTTCATGGCCATCGTCTCGTCCTGCCTGAACGACTGCTCCAGCAGATCCACCGCCAGCGTGCCGAACTCACTGAGCACACACACACACACACACACACACACACACACTGGATCAGACTCAACGTGAAGCTGAAGTAGATTTAGAATCATCTCCAGCATTTCATTCTTCCATTCTCCTCATTTTGAGTTAAAACATTATTATTGGGCTTTGTAATGCTTTGTTCCTCCTCTTTTCTAAGTCACTTTGGATAAAAGTGTCCGCTAAATGCATAAATGTAAATGTAAGCACTGAAATTCTCAAAATACTTACTACAGCATTCCTGTAGTTCTGTAGATGGCAATTATAACATAAATGTGACCCTGAAGCACAAAACCAGTCATAAGGGAAATGGTCTGTGTTGCCATGATCACTCATTACAAGCGATTTTTGGGCTTGTTGTTTAAGCTCGGATCATAAAGCGATCGGGTTTGTGGCGTTATCAAAGTGAGCAGACACGAGTCGCTATATTTGGGTCTTATTTTCAGCATAAAGCATTTGAATTTACTTCGGTTTATTATGGTCTTGTTTGCTGATTTTTCTAGCAAGATCTGGCAACACAAACGAGGCAAGGCTCGTACTGCTTTCCCTGTGAAGAGTGACACATTTCGGGAGTTAATTCAGTTGTCACTAGGGATGTGCGCGACGACTAATTTGACTGTCGTTTAAACTCAAGTTTTGTATCCGACTAGTCGACTAGTCTAAAAGCAAGAAACCCCCAAAAGATGGTAAGAAAAAAAAACCTCTGTGCGTGCAGCATATATAATAGCCTATATTTGAAATACTTAATCTATGAATCACACTGTCAAATCCCTCAATGAATTCCGCTTGCCGCACACTTGCCTCGCGTTATCATCATTGCGTTTACAAGGATACTTGCAGAGCACAGTATTTCAGGCACAAATAGACGCAGAAGTGAACGGAATTCAGTGTTCACGTGCATCTGCGTGGCTCTCACCGCGTCTACACCGGACACGAGCGGCGCGACAAAATACAATAGAACCCATTATAATCAGTGATGCTGACTGTCTACACTGGATGCTGCACACAAATCCCCGACAGTAAACTGATGCCGCGTTCTCTTTATGATGTACTGACACAAAGTTCAAATGATATGCAACGGTCGCGTCCAGTGTAGACAGACTTTGGGGCCGTTCACATGTCGCGCCTAAAAACGCGTGGGAAAACACCAGTCGTGCCGCTTTCTCCTTCTTTCCAAAGCGCTCTGGAGCTTGTGCTTTCGTGGCGTCTGCCGTTGCTAAGCAACCGTGACCTGTGCTCTCCACGACAACGCGGAAGTTTCAACAAAGGATAAATGGATTTCCAGCACAGTGCTGTAGCTCTGCTACTAAATGCATTTAAAATGAGTATCTCTGTACAGCTGTCGCGTTCGGTGTAGACACCGTGTCTGTGTGTGAGCAAAGAAAACAATCAGTATAAATATAACGATCAGTATACTAAACATCGCACAACCTGCGATGTGACTATCGTGGATGCGCACATCGCGATATCGATGCTGAAACGATATACCGTGCAGCCCTAATAAACACACACACACACACCTCTCGAATCTTCTCCACCGCCAGCGTGAAGATGTAAAGAATGACGACCCATTCCTGAGGAGATGGAAACGGCTCCATTCGCACCAGCACCACGTATGAATACAGCATCAGGAAACCGATATAAAAGAGCTAGAACACACAAAACACACTGTTAGACAGATGACGCATCTCTAAAACCTTCATAAGGAGCTCAAATCTCCTCATAATCACAGACACACCTGTGCAGACGAGGGTCAAAGGCCTCAAATATGGAGTTTAGAGTCATTAGACACTAATATAAGAGCAGTGACCAATCACAATCAAGAATAAGACACAATAAACACTCCATTTTATTAAACACTACAGTTTATTTCCTCAAATTTTGACTTTTTTTCTGGGGTTTTTATGATTTAATACAAATTTAACCAAAAAAAACAACAACAAAAAAACGGTGGTGATTGTAATTTTAACAAATTAATATTTTAAAATGTAATCAAATTTTTTTTTAAATCTATTTTTTGTGAAATAAAGAGGTGCACAACAGAGATTTACTGTGAAAATTGTTTTTCTAAATAAAAATTTTAATACATTTAATAAAAACATAATAAATGTAGTAAATTCTTATTACTTTAAGTACTTTTTACCGTTCAAAAATAATATATTTCTGCCATCATTTCATACGACCATTGGTTTTGTAGTGAAGAGCTTTGAGTTTCAGTGTATCTGATTAACTGCAAAAGCCCTTCTTCTGATCTATTCATCCCAAAAAGGTTTTTTTTTTTTTTTATGACTTGATTCTGTGATTTTGCATTTTCTGTGTCTGGTACAATTGCACAGTTGCTCAAGAATCACTTACTGCTGGTGTGATCAAAGAACGGTTTGAACACTCAAAACAATCATTATTTGCTTTTCTGACAATCTTTAATGTTTGATCAACACATTCACCTCAAACCCTTCAACTTACATTAGAAACGACAGATGAATGATCAACCGCTGCTTCACACACACACACACACACACACACACACACACACACACACACACACTCATACACACATACACACACAGCATCAGTTGATCGATCAGTCGATGCACGAGGCTAGGGATGGCCGATAGCACTTACTTTGTTTTCGATACGATACCGATAAGTTTTAAAGGCCTGTATCGTTGATATCGATACAGATACTTCAAGCTAAACTTTTAAATGATAAAATTTATTAAATTACAAACACACACAAACACAAGTCTGGTTGAAATGTCACTAGTGAACCACTTATTTTGTTTTCGATACGATACCGATACTTTTAAAGGCCAGTATCGTTGATATCGATACAGATACTTCTAAACTAAACGTTTAAATTATGAAATGTATTAAAATTTTACTCTTTTACTAAGAGTAAAATGGGTAATGATACCCACTTTATACTTGAAATGCATTTTAACATTCAATATGCCTTAATTGCAACTAATTAGGTTATATATTTGTTTACACGTGGTTAATATATGTTTACTGTAGTGGTAACCATGGAAATCTACAACTACTATAGTTGAACTATGGTCACTTTAGTAAAATCATGGTTAATTTGCTTAAGGGAGTGCCAGTGACAGGCTGTTGCATGCATAAAATACAACCTTTTTATTCTGACAGTGTATGGTTTATATTAACATTACAGAATAGAACATGATCAGTATTTAAATAATTGTAATTGCACAAACTATGTAGGCTACAATTTCACTTTGTTTACTGTGAAATAACTCAAACACACAGACGTTTTTTCTGTCCTCTGCTAAGCATTGTTCTGGGCTGCCGTTCCCAAAAACATCAATGCTTTCTTCTGAAGCGCAGCCCTGTTTGAATGCACGGTCTCTCTGTGATTGATTGGTTCTGTCTTGCAGCATTTGCGTGTGTTCAGATGAGCAGGAAAATAGTTCTATCCTACACAGTTATTCGTTAACGTAGGTTATTCGTCCAATTCAATGCATATTGCACGCATTTAATTTTTTTGTAAAATAAACAAAATCCCTGATAAATAAAACATCAATATTTTCTATTTGAGTATTGATACTTTCGATACTCGCATCAGTACTGATATAGCAAGCGCAGGGGCGGCTGTACCTTGTACCAGGAGTTCTTGCGCATGTTCAGGCGGCCCATCCACATGTCGGAGAGCAGCATCTGTGTGCAGGTGTGAGCCACGAACGGCCGGAGGCGCGACGACACCGCCAGCTTCAGACAGGTGGAGTTGCTCCAGTTCTTCAGCTCGTACGTCAGCAGCTTCATGGCCATCGTCTCGTCCTGCCTGAACGACTGCTCCAGCAGATCCACCGCCAGCGTGCCGAACTCACTGAGCACACACACACACACACACACACACACACACACTGGATCAGACTCAACGTGAAGCTGAAGTAGATTTAGAATCATCTCCAGCATTTCATTCTTCCATTCTCCTCATTTTGAGTTAAAACATTATTATTGGGCTTTGTAATGCTTTGTTCCTCCTCTTTTCTAAGTCACTTTGGATAAAAGTGTCCGCTAAATGCATAAATGTAAATGTAAGCACTGAAATTCTCAAAATACTTACTACAGCATTCCTGTAGTTCTGTAGATGGCAATTATAACATAAATGTGACCCTGAAGCACAAAACCAGTCATAAGGGAAATGGTCTGTGTTGCCATGATCACTCATTACAAGCGATTTTTGGGCTTGTTGTTTAAGCTCGGATCATAAAGCGATCGGGTTTGTGGCGTTATCAAAGTGAGCAGACACGAGTCGCTATATTTGGGTCTTATTTTCAGCATAAAGCATTTGAATTTACTTCGGTTTATTATGGTCTTGTTTGCTGATTTTTCTAGCAAGATCTGGCAACACAAACGAGGCAAGGCTCGTACTGCTTTCCCTGTGAAGAGTGACACATTTCGGGAGTTAATTCAGTTGTCACTAGGGATGTGCGCGACGACTAATTTGACTGTCGTTTAAACTCAAGTTTTGTATCCGACTAGTCGACTAGTCTAAAAGCAAGAAACCCCCAAAAGATGGTAAGAAAAAAAAACCTCTGTGCGTGCAGCATATATAATAGCCTATATTTGAAATACTTAATCTATGAATCACACTGTCAAATCCCTCAATGAATTCCGCTTGCCGCACACTTGCCTCGCGTTATCGTGTTTAGTGTCCAGCAGCAGCAGCATGCTTGCCGTCAGCGCAGCTGAAGAGTTCTGCGTTCAAATGCAAGCATAGGCTTAAGTTTGCCGCATAGCACTGGCAAAAGTAATTACCATAAATGTGTCAGGGGGAAATAGTAAGGAGATATTTGAATTATTTACTAATTATTGTAAGACAATTTGACATTACACAGTTTACACAAAACTTTTCCTTCTAATTCAAAATAATCCTACACCTTCTCATCTTTCGCATGCTCATTTTTGAACTCGCCGCAACTGACACGAAGAAAACGCATGTGAGGTCTGAGGTAAAAGTGTAGTTTCCGCCCAGATAAACTTTTAAAAATAATGTATTATTTTTCAAACATTTTAAGCTGTACTGTTTAGTCGACTAGTCCCGCACATCCCTAGTTGTCACACCCGTATTTTAGTGAATTACGTGTGTACAGAACACGATTAAGGAGTAAAAGGTGAACTGACAACCGAATTTAGCTGCAGTGTGTACGTGGCCTTTGAAACTTCCAGCGCTCATATTTAATCAATTAAACCATAGCCTTTTGAAGTGTAAGCTATATCTCAATTCTTGTCTTTCTGTCCCCAAATTTAAGATATTGCTGTACCATTTAAGACTTTTTATGGCCTTAAAGGGATAGTTCATCCAAAAATGAAAATTAGCCTGTGTTTTACTCACCCTCAAAGCATCCTAGGTGTTTATGACTTTCTTCTTTCAGACGAATCCAATCGGAGTTATATTAAAAATTGTACTGGCTCTTCCAAGCTTTATAATGGCAGTGAATGGGTGTTATTTTTTCAACAGTTCAAAAAAAGTTAAATAAAGCACATCCATCCATAATAAAAGGTGCCTCACACGGCTCCGGGGGGAGAATAAAGGCCTCCTGTAGCGAATCGATGCGCTTTTGTAAGAAAAATATCCATATTTAAAATGTTATAAACACTTTTCTCTCACTTCCGCTAACTGTTGAACGCGGAAGCCATTCCGGGCGGATGACGTGGATGGATGCGCTTTATTTGATTTCATTTGGACTGTTGAACAAAAACACCCATTTACTGCCATTATAAAGCTTGGAAGAGCCAGGACAATTTTAAATATAACTCAGATTGGATTCGTCTGAAACAAGAAAGTCATATACATCTAGGATGCCTTGAGGGTGAGAAAAAACATGGGCTAATTTTCATTTTTGGGTGAACTATCCCTTTAAATCTGAAACAGGAAAATGGGAAAATATTTAAACGGGATGATAGCAGGATAGAATGGTAAAATACGGGAGAATCGCGGGAAAAACGGGAGGGTTGACGGGTATGAACTGACTGGAGCTGAATGAAGACACAGCAGCCTCATTTCTAAAGTTTGCATCAATGGTTCTGTTGTTTTCTCATTTATTACCATGAAGCTGTTTGAAACAGTCTGTATTGTAGAAATGAAGGGGACTCGACTGACAGAGACTCACTTGGAATACTCCTTCAGCTCCTCGGACGTGTCGTCCACCACGTCGCTCTTCTTGGCCTCGTATCCCATGGAGCGCAGCAGTTTGCAGGCCACCAGAGCTTTGGCCATGGACTCCTCGCCGTGCTGCCAGAAGAACAGAGACATCTTCTGCCGCTTCATCAGCACGGCCCACACCAGCAGCTCGTTGAAGGGGTACGGGAACCTGCGCGTCTCCGGATCATCGATGTCCACCACCTCCTCCTTACTCTTCTTCTTCTGCTGCTCGGAGACAGAGTCCAGCTGAGAAAGAAAAACACACGATCAAACACACGCTGCTGCGAGAGATGTGACAGACAAACACGCTCAAACACTCGTCTTACCCTGGGTTTGTAGGGCTGAGCTGTGTTGATGAAGTGATTGTGTCGTGTCTTCTCTTTTTTATCTGCTTGAATGCTGAAGGACTCATGGGAGCTGCCAGCTGTGTGTCGACCTGACCGCTGACAGACAGAACCGATGGAGAGATAGACAGACAGACGAACAGAAAGAACGACAGACAGATATAGAGATAGACAGACAGACGGACAGAAAGAACGACAGACAGATATAGAGATAGACAGACAGACAGACAGACAGACAGACAACAGACAAACGAACAGAAAGACGGACGGACAAACAGACGGACGGACAGATATAGAGATTTAGAGACCGACAGACAGAACGACAGACAGATATAGAGATAGACAGACAGACAAAAAGAACGACAGATGGACGGACAGATATAGAGACAGACAGAAAGAACGACAGACGACAGACAGATAGATATAGAGACAGACAGACAGACAGAAAGAACGACAGACGACAGACAGATAGATATAGAGACAGACAGACAGACAGACAAAGAACGACAGACGGACGGACAGATTTAGAGACCGACAGACAGAACGACAGACAGATATAGAGATAGACAGACAGACAAAAAGAACGACAGATGGACGGACAGATATAGAGACAGACAGACAGAAAGAACGACAGACAGACAGATAGATATAAGACACAGACAGACAGAAAGAACGACAGACAGACAGATATAGAGACAGACAGACAGAAAGAACGACAGACGACAGACAGATAGAAAGAGAGACAAAGAACGACAGACAGATAGATATAGAGACAGACAGACAGACAGAAAGAACGACAGACAGAAAGAACGACAGGCAGGCAGACAAATATAGAGACAGACAGACAGACAGAAAGAACGACAGACGACAGACAAACGAACAGAAAGACGGACGGACAAACAGACGGACGGACAGATATAGAGACAGACCGACGGATGGAAAGAATGACAGACAGATATAGAGATAGACAGACAGACAAAGAATGACAGATGGACAGAACGACAGACAAACGAACAGAAAGATGGATGGACAAACAGATGGACGGACAGATATAGAGACAGACAGACAGAAAGAACAGATGGACAGAACAACAGACAAACAAACAAAGATGGACGGACAAACAGAGCAACAGACATACAGAACAACAAACACAAAGATGGACAGACAGAACAAAAAAATGGACGGACACACACAGACACAAAGCATTAGATCTTTCATTCTGATCGGACTAATAATTAAATAATAAAGTAAAATTAAAATGCAGAAATTATTTTAAAATAAAACACGTAAAGATTTTAAAAATATTAAAGAAAAAAAACTAAACACTTTGATCTGCATGTCATGTGACCATTAATCGGCATCAGAGAACCGTGAACATGCAAATGTGTTATTAAATTATGAAAAAATTAAATCACAAAATCTTAAAAGTAAAATTCTTAGTACATGTTTCGGCTGATATAAACACTGTTAGCGCTCGTTTACCCGGCTGTTCCCGTGCAGGTTGTTGTAGATGATGCGGAAGCGTTTGCGTGTGTAGTTGCACCTGTACGTTCCTCCCATCAGATACTCGATCACCAGCCCCATGTCGATCAGCGTGATCTTATAGTTGGGCGGGAGGTTACCCTACCAAAAAACACAAGGGAATAAAACTCAGATGGACTGCAGTCTGGCGTCGGACACTCGAGCTTCAGTCCATCAGCTTTACCTGTTTGACGTCCCTCACCAGGTGATAGAGCGTCGGATTGGTCGGAGTTTGTTTCTGTGAGAATAGAAATGTTCAGATTTATGTCCAGTTTATGCTCAGTGTTTGAGAAGCAACGAGTGAGTGAGTGAGTGAGTGAGTGAGTGAGTGAGTGAGTGTGTGTGAGTGTGTGTGTGCGTGAGTGTGTGAGTGTGAGTGAGTGTGTTTGTGTACCGTGTTGTACAGCTCCTCCAGACGTGTGATTGTGAGGAACCGGTGCATACTGACGCCATTCTCTATCAGGAGCTTAACAAACTCCACACGGTCCATCACCAACGCATCCAACATCGCCTGCTCGAGGGAGCCCACCTACACACACACACACACACTAACTTTAATACGTTCTAATCACTGTAACACTGAGTGTTGAACTCAGAGCCCAGAACTGTCATTCACATTGCTTCTAATCTTAAAGAGACAATTTACCCAATAATCATCAATAAAACTAAATATTTTGAATTAAGTGCTTTTTTTGTCAATACAATGAGTATCAATGGGGTCAATGAAAGTCAGTGGGGTCCAATGTTGTTTGGCTCCCATCATTCTTCAAAATATCTTTTGTTTTTGACAGAAGAATGTCACACAGATTCAGAACAACATGAGGGAGAATAAGTTATGACAATGATGATTTCTAGGTGAACTATCACTTTAAAAGTGAACATTAGTCTCTCCTGCTTCACTTTTGTTGGTCATTTTATTTTTCAGTAGTAATATATTACGGTCACATTTCCTTGATGTTCATCAAGTTTTCGTTTTCAAAGAAAACAGTTTACAGAATATGTACACATGGTACGTTTAAGCATCATGATATTTGTTAGTGTATCAATGTGCTGAGAGGTCAGTAGGTCACAGTGTGTGTGTTCACCACAAACACAACACAACTGTTTCTTCTCTGTGTTTATCGGCACACACGGGTACAAACCAGCAGCTGTTGTCCATAAACAAACACGTGATCTTTAGCGATATCCACCCGATCCCACGCCAGCGTCAGGACCAGCTGATCGAAGGCCGACGCGTTCGTGCCTGTGCGCACACACACACACACACACACACACACACACACACACTGAGATAGTGAGTGAGTGAGTGTGTGTGTGAGTGTGTGTGTGTTGGTTGCAGCTATATCAGCTTCACAGGTTTTATATGGCAGATAGATTCAACATTCAACAGATACATTTTATAAAATTTAGCTTAGAAAAACAAAAAGACTAAATTCTGTATATACAATTCTATAAAAAGATTATTTGAATGTAAATGATATTGTAAAAGTTTATCTGGATCCATCTTCCAAAACAAACCAATATCATGTGTCTGTGTGATGGAGGTTCAGGAGATGATGGTCTGATTCGGTTCATTTGCAGCAGAAACGCCTGCATCAGTCAAACACACACACACACACAGAGAGACACACACACACACTCACTCACACACTCACATACAGAGATGTCGAGGGTCGTTCCACTGACCTTTGAGCAGAGCCTTCAGGATTGCCACATCGATGTCCTGATGGTCCTCCGAGCCCACAGGAAACACTGTGATCTGAAACACACACACACGAGGGTCAAACGCTGACGGGACCTGCAGCATGTGTGTGTGTCTCTCATAAACCACAGCTTATTGACCAAATACTGAGTGAGTGAGTGAGTGTGAGTGTGAGTGTGAGTGTGCGAGTGCGTGTGCAAGTGTGTGTGCGAGTGTGTGTGTGTTGTGAGTGCGTGTGAGTGCGAGTGCGTGTGAGTGTGTGTGAATGTGAGTGCGAGCGTGTGTGAGTGTGAGTGAGTGCGAGTGTGTGAGTGTGTGCGAGTGTGTGTGAGTGTGAGTGAGTGCGAGTGTGTGAGTGTGTGTGTGAGTGTGAGAGTGTGTGCGAGTGTGAGTGTGTGTGTGTGAGGGTGAGTGTTCACCAGCTCTTTGTTCTTCATGCACTCCATCAGCGTCTGGAAGAGATGCAGTGCGTCGCTCTGGCTAAAGTTGAACGTTTTCTTGATTGTCGCAATGATGTCGGCCTCAACGCCGTCAGGCAGCGCTCTACAAACACACACACACAGGTTTTGTCTTGACTCAAGGTGTGAATGTAAAGCTTATATTCTACATCGAGCTCTTATGACACAAATCACAATAATAACGTCTGACTGCTGTCATACTGACAAACATAAGTGGATACGAGCAATGTTCCCTCTAAGCTGTGCACGCGAAGAAATAATGTGCCGCGCACACGCATACATGAGTTGGGAAAGCCATTTGCGAAAGCTAATGAATTGCAATGCTCGGGTAAACCGCTATAGAGTTGATATCGCTATAGAGTTAGAAGCGGTGAATGCGGTTTACAGGTTTCATAGAAAGAGAATGATGTGCGCTGAATGAGTCGCTGTAGAAACTGAATATTTTAATGGTTGCGGACGAAATAGCTCAAATCAAGAGCCAACGCAAACGCAATGACATGTGAAATAAAAGGTCATCATGTAGTAAAGAAGAGTGGCTTGATTAAGTGCTGGAAATAGCTGATGATGAGCACAGAACGGTAACAAAACTCAGAGACATTTACAGTCACACACACAGGTGTGTTGTGCAAACTGTACTTCATAGAGATGTTTAGATAGCTATAGAAGAAGTCACGTTCACAGTTTTTAAAAAATATTTAACTTACAGATCTCAGTTTAAGTGCTTCAGTTTGTTTTGATATTATATTATGTTAGGCCTATATTATAAACCTAATAAATAATTGACCTTGAGTCTCTTCTGTTCATCAAGGAAGTATTTATTTGATCAAAAATACAGAAAAAAAACAGTAATATTGTGAAACATTGCAATTTCTAATATTGGTTTCCTATTTTAATATACTTTAAAATAGTCACATGATCTTCAGAAATCATTCTAATATGCTGATTTATTATCAGTGCTCAGTGCTGGTGTGCTGTTTCATATTTATTTATTTTTTTAAACGGTGATACTTTTTTCTTTGATTCTTTGTTCTTTGAAAAGTTAAAAAGAACAGCATTTATTCAAAATAGAAATATTTTACTGTTATTTGTAATCAATTTAACCCATCCTTGCTAAAAAACAAACAAACAAACAAACTTTCTGACCCCAAAAATTTGAATGATAGTGTATTTACATAAACATTAGCACATTCAATTCAAATAAATGTATGGA